AAACAGGAGGGATAATTTTGAGAGGCCATTTCTGCACACCTGTATTAGGGCCATCAAAAGGACAAGAAGCAAAAAGGCAGTGTGTGTTTGTTGCATGATGTGCAATTTTGGTTTCTGTTGTATGGAAATAACTTTACACTAAAATCCCACACTACAACCTACTCAGAAGCAAGTTAAGTAAGCATAGGATTGTCAGTTTTAAGTTCTATCAGTTTCTCAATCTTAAGCTTGCTTTGTCGCATTTTCACATTCACACAGCATGAAATATTGCACACATTCTTCCTAACCTATGCAATTTTGTTTGCAACATGGCCTACTATACACCTTTTTTGCAAGCAATTTTCTCTGATATAATGTTTTATATGCTATTTTCACTCATATATGCATTTTGGTGCACACTTGTGGGTTAGAGAACTGCATCACAAAATTTGGAGAAGTGCAAATTTTTCAGGAGAGCTGTGTTTTGGTTGGCTTATTGGTTCAGGAATTGCAAATCGGGGAAGATCACATTCCAATGCCAAGCGAACCAATTTCTTCCCTGTCTCCACCCTCCAGAATTCTAAAGAAATTCTAAAGAACCCTGAGAAAGAGGCAGAAAAATTGAAACTTCTTTCCCAGGAGACAAATACTTCCAAAAAGTTGGAGGACAGATGTTGGTACAACACTGGGATTTATAGTCTTCTTGTGGAGAACAGTCAATGGCCAGCCTGGGAGAGACAATTCACCACAGTATCTAAACATCTTTTACTGCCAAGGGCAGGGGTCACCAAGCTTTTTTGAGCCAGTGGGCACATGTGGAACTTCCTCAGAATGCCATGATTGCCAGCCACAGCATGCCTGCTGTGGGGGCATGGCACAACACCAAATGGGTACCAAGGAGGGTTGGCATGTCAGAAAATGGCTACTGTGACATAATGTGTGTGGCATCATGGCTGATGCAAATAAAAGAGAAGAAATAGATATAATAGCACAAAATGGTTTGGGAATTCCCTCTCCCCATAAGTCATCTCATAAATATGGAGAAAACAGACCTACATAAACCATGCCTACACTCATTTACAGAGAGACCCTCTTGGTATCTCTCTTCTGTTCAGAACAGATGGGAAGGTGGGTGTCCATTCCTGGCATCCAGTGACATGTGGCATGTTGTCATGGAATGGCTGGATGCAGAGGAACGGTGGGAGGAACCAGCTGGAGAACCACCAAGGGAAGAATCCTCAGAGCCCGGGGAGTGGTGGTGGGACAATGATGAATGGTCAGAGGGAGAAGAGGAGACCAGGAAGAGGAGGTGTCAGAAGCTGAAGAAGTAACAGGGTGAGCTGGGAAAGCTGGTGACAGAGAGAAGTCAAGAGGCAGAAGCTAAAGCAGGAGAGTGGGATGAGGGAGCCCAAGAGGCAGAGGTAAGTCAGGCTGGTGAAGAGTCACAGGTGTTTCCCTCTTCTGCTGCAACAAGCTCCCCTCCACCCTTGTCTCCCAGAACCAGAAGAGGCATGAAGAGGGTGGAGGCGAGGTTGGCTACATGTAAGCCCTTGAGAGGAGGGAAGTTAGATGGCTGTGAGGACGTGGAGGCTTTCAGTCTCAGAAACTGATTTTTATGGAGTAAGACCACCAGGAGTGAGCTCATTAGGCCTGGTGCTCAACCAAGTCTGTGCAGATTGTGTTTTTCTAATACAGTAGTACATCGGGATGCAAACAGAGCCCCGTTCCGGAGCCCCGATCACATCCTAAATAGAATGTAAGACATGATGGCGCATCTGCGCATGTGCGGGTCGCGTTTTGCCACTTCCGCGCATGCACATGACATCATTTTGAGCGTCTGTGCATGCGCGAGTGGCAAAACTCGGAAGTAACACGCTCCATTACTTCCAGGTTGCCACGGAGAGCAACCTGAAAGCACTCAATCTGAAGCACATTCAACCCGAGGTATGACTGTAGAGTCAACTAACTCCAATTTTGGACTATGTGATTATTGATCAGCATGCTCCTGTGATATGCATTCAGTGTAAGAGATGCTGAGCTGGTGCAAATTAGAAGAGTAAGCAGTTCCTCATCTATTGTATAATTTTGAGGGGATATTTCCTGAGACCTTTTGCAAACACCTTAGGAGTCACTGGCAGGTGGATCCCATGCCAGTGATCCCTGGTCTAGGGATCTGCTCCAACATTTTACCTTCTTGGCTCAGCACCTGAGGCATAGCTATGAATTCCTGATTCCAGCCCCAGCAGTTGCATCACATCTATGTGTAGTTGGCAATGAACTTTGGGAGCGGGGTGCACCCACAGGGAAAATGTTGCCTATCATTGCTGTAAAGCAATAATAATTCCTGTTTTTACAGATAATGCACCTGAGGCTGAGAGACAGCAACTTGTCCAAGGATACCCCATGACCTTTTGGCTGAAGACGGATTTGAATCTGACACAAGCTTTCTATGCACTGGACCAGACTGCCTGTCAGTTCAAGAATTAATATGTACTCATTCATATGTAGTATTTTGTGTGTGGCTTTTCTTCAAAATGTAATCAAAGCAACTTTCAGTTAAAAATGATGATGTTAAATTTGCATAGACCAACATCCCAGCAATGGTGTCAATTGTTTAAGGAAGGGCACCCAAATGAATCTTGCAGACCACAGAATTAATGCTTCATTTCATTGCCATGAATCAAAACAACTCAGAACAGAGTCAGAAGTGGGAAAAGTCTGAAGGATGGTACTCAGATGGTGAAAAGAAACAGCATCCTAACTGACTTTATGTGGAGATTAAGGGCCTATCCATACCTCAGCTTAATATGGGTTGTGAAGCCCTTCTGTCTCCTTAAATTCCCCTCATCCACATGTTCTTCTCTTCCAGTTATCGCTGTTCCACAATTTCTCCTCCCTAAATCCAGAGGTTTGCATGCTTTGAAAATACAATTTGGACAGCTGTATCAATAGCACAGGGAATCCCTTAATTTAGAAGGAGAAAGTGTGAAACAGCAGTAGTTGGAGAAACCCATGCGGACAAAAAGGCACAAGGATTCACCATCCACATTAAGCCAAAGTGTGGAGAGGCACTAGGGAAGACAGATTCCTTGAGAACTGAAGATAGCTTGATTCAAGGTTATTTTCTAAATTTAGTGGACGTATTCAAGGTCTCGGGACGCAGGTGGCGCTGTGGGTTAAACCACAGAGCCTAGGACTTGCTGATCAGAAGGTCGGTGGTTCGGGAGACAAAGGAAAATACAGTTATAAATATGAAGAGCCGCGGAAGGGACATGGAAGGGACTTAAGGGCCTCGGATATAAGATTACCAGGTTAATGCACTAGATTGATGAGATAAAAAGGACTGAAAAAACCCGGGACCAGGAGGAAGAGACGCTGGATGAAGATTGGATTGTTTTTTTATTTCTTTTTTTTTTATTAGGATTGTTTTATAAAATTGATAAATGTTAGAAAAATGTTGGAACGAAATTATTTGGCTTTAGCAAAAATGTTTAAAGAATTATGTAAGAATATTATGGTTATGAGAAGTTGGTAAAAATAAGATTTAAGTTTTAGGTTTTAAGGTTTTTTATAGTAAGATAAGATTAAAATAGATTAAGGTAATGTAATGACAGAATATTATGAAATATGGAAAGGATTTGCTGCGACAATTAACAACTAGGATACAAAAAAAGGGAGGAGGAGGAGGTCAAAGAAAGAAGGTAATGATAGCTAAGGATTTGAGAATAATGGATTTGTTTTTAAATGTTTGTGGTATATTTTTCTCTTTTGATCGTGTTGTGCTATTTTTTGATTTTGATTTTGATTAATTTGTATTGTTTGATGTGGTTTGTTTTTTCTTTCTCTTTTTCTACCTTGTTTTCTTTTGTAATTCTAAAAAAATTTCAATAAATATCATTTAAAAAACAACAACAGCAGAAGGTTGACGGTTCGAATCCCCGCGATGGGGTGAGCTCCCGTTGCTCGGTCCCTGCTCCTGCCAACCTAGCAGTTCGAAAGCACGTCAAAGTGCAAGTAGATGAATAGGTACCGCTCTGGCGGAAAGGTAAACCGCGTTTCCGTGCGCTGCTCTGGTTCGCCAGAAGCGGCTTAGTCATGCTGGCCACATGACCCGGAAGCTGTACGCCGGCTCCCTTGGCCAATAAAGCGAGATGAGCGCCGCAACCCCAGAGTCGGTCACGACTGGACATAATGGTCAAGGGTCCCTTTACCTTTTTATTTAAGGTCTCAGTATGAGTGGATGCAATCACTGCATCATTCGGAAGCACTAAGGCCTGGGAGGGGTGCTGACTTCTAGAACTGTAATTTCATCCTTAAAAAAACAAAAAGTTTGGTTATTTATTATTATTCATTTAAATATTTCCTCTCTCTCTTCAGCCAGAAAAAGCTGCCCAAAGCAGTTTACAGATCAATCAAGGCAAGGCAGAAGATAAGGAATGAATCAAGGAGATAATTCTGGGACCTACCATTTCATCATGAAGATGGGAATCTTCATTTCAGAGGTGGATGCACTATCCTGCAGCGAAATACCTGCTCCCATCAGTGGAGCAACAATACCAAGAAGAATTCTGGCTCTACAATGATTCCCGATGGTGAATCAACACAACAGGGAAGCAACCCAACAGAACAGTTGCAGAAGTTCCAGGGCAATGAATGGCAGCTGCAGAAACTCATGGTTTGCTCAGGTTATGCTCCCTGTGGACTGTGCCTATTATTATATTATTTTATTTAAGCTTCAAAAGCACAGGGGATTTGTCTTATGAAGATCTTGATTTTTGTTTCCAGGTTGCAGCTACCATCAGGACCATTATCAACATGGCACATTTAATTTCCAGATTTATTTATTTTTAAAAAAAGATTGCTGTTGCATTCTCCTAAGTAACAGCTGGATTTTGTATTTTCATATATGGGGCCTAAACCACTGTATTTTCATGGGAAGCTGCCCTCTCCTGAGTCAGACCATTGGCCCAACTAACTCAGTATGTTCTACTCTGTTGGGCAGTAGCTCTTCAGGACTTCCCCAGAGCTCCTGGGGATTGAACCTGGGACCTTCTGCATGAAAAGCAGATGCTCTACCATGGAGCGATGGCTCTCAGAAGCAGTTTTGTCTTCCTAGCAGCTCTGGGTGCAACCCAAAACCTGCAGAGCACCTAAAGAACCCCATTTCCATGTCTGCTACCTCCTCCCTCATTCCATCTTCAAGGTGTGACCAGATGCACATTTCACTGTTTCACTTTTTTTTGTGCCCCCCTCTCCATTGCCAGCCTTGCCCCATTTATCATGTAGCCTGATGAAGAGTTCTGCAGAACTCAAAAGTTTGCACACATTTTTGGTTGGCCTAATAAAGGTCTTACAATAAGATGGATTTTGGTGTTTTCCTTATGAGCCACCATGGCTTCCTTTACTCTTTGCATTCTTCTAACCATTATCCAATAGCCATAAGGCAGCTCGGCTGAGCAAAAGAGACAAATCCGGTAACTGATTAAAATTGAGAATGGTATTAGAACTGAAATGGCACCCCATGCAGAGATTAAGGAAAACAAACTCCCCAACAGATGGTTCCTTACCTGAGTTGAAGAGTTCTAGGTCTGTGCATGAGTGGGTGGAATCACTTTAATGTTTTCAAGCACAAAAAGGGTTTCAGTGCAACCTAGTTTTAATTTCACCATATTTTCAAGTTCTTTTCTGAGCACAGTTCAAAGTGTTGGTGGTGACCTTTAAAGCCCTAAACAGCCTCAGCCCAGTATACCTAAAGAAGAGTCTCCACCCCCATCGTTCAGCCCAGACACTGAGGTCCACCTTTGAGGGTCTTCTGGTGGTTCCCTCACTGTAAGAAGTGAAGTTACAGGGAACCAGGAGCAGGGCCTTCTTGGCAATGACGCCCACCCTGTAAACCACCCTCCCATCAGATGCCAAGGAGATAAAAAACTACACAATTTTTAGAAGACACCTGGAGGCAGTTTTTAAGGTATGGCAGTTTATTATGTTTTATATGTGCTGGAAGCTGCCCAAAGTGGCTGGGGAGACCCAGCCAGATGGGCGGGGTATAAATAATAAAATTATTATTATCATTATTATTTTGTGAGAGCGTATAAACATTGGATAGGATGCGGGTGGTGCTGTGGTCTTAACCACAGAGCCTAGGGCTTGCCGATCAGAAGGTCAGTAGTTTGAATCCCCACGATGGGGTGAGCTCCAGTTGCACTGTCCCAGCTGCTGCCCACCTAGCAGTTTGAAAGCACGTCAAAGTGCAAGTAGATAAATAGGTACCACTCCAGCGGGTAGGTAAACGGCGTTTCCGTGCGCTTCTCTGGTTTACCAGAAGTAGCTTAGTTATGCTGGCTACATGACCTGGAAACTGTCTGTGGACAAACGCCGGCTTCCTCGGCCAGTAAAGCGGGATGAGCGCCGCAACCCCAGAGTCGTCCACAACTAGACTTAACAGTCAGGGGTCCCTTTACCTTTATAAGCATTGGACAAACTCTGAAACCACAGCCACTTGGTTGTACCAAACAAAGTTATTGCTGGCTGAGCATAGCTGAGCCAAGAATCAGTCAGCTGAGCCAAAGATCAGCTGCATCATAAGCTGCTCATCCCATCAGATCTTGCCTTAGGAGAGTCCCCTAATTCTATTAGATCCCATTCTTCTATTGTTACCTAAAAAAAGTATGCCTCGCCAGAAAGTGATGCCACATATTCAGGATCATGGATATGTACATGTCGTAAGGTTAAGATTTTCTAAATTATTAATCTGCTAGCTCCATGTAACCACCCCATTTAGTACTTAGCGTAGATTCCATTTAAAGCCACATGGAACATTTGCATAAATCCATTTTAAGTAATGCACATCATAATTCTCCTTACTACTGCTGACCAATTTACTAATCCACACAGTGCCAAGCAACTCCTCATCATAGTGTCACTTGCAATTGCCGATAAACTGCAATAAACTACTAGAATGCGCACAATGAGGTAGAAATTGGTCTAATCCTTCTGAGGGGTGCTGCTATGCTGCTTGACTGTACTGACACTTGTCTTTAGATGCTTAGGGGATGGAGAGGAGGAGGAGAATATGTAAAGCAGACTTCAGCAAGCCCTACTTTGATTATTTCCTGTGAATTATTCAACATAAATAGAACAAAAATAATCCTAAATAATTTGCTTAAATGGGGACTAAATTGATGAACCCCTGTTGGTCTCTTAACGCTATCGCTGGCAAAATAGGCTGAACAACTTTACCAACGAGGCAATATTTATTTTTTGCTTCCGCAAGGTTTGTGGCCTGAATGACACTATAATTACAGCAAAATGCACAAGTCATTTAAATTACCATAGCAATTAAAGCAGGCTAAGGCACTGCAATTAGTTTCTTGCAAGATACACAATAAGTGTTTCAGGATCCCTTATTCTTTGCCGAAACAAAAGCTTTGCTTTGTTGCATCAGGGTTTCAGACTCAGAGCAGAACAATCACAGTACACAGTGGATGGTATTCAATTTAGTGTTACTGAGAGTAGATCAACTGAAATTAATGAACATCTCTATTTAGTTGAATACCATCCAGTTTGTCTGCACCTTGGTACATGCGTGCAAGTGTCCATACACTACAAAATAAGTGTCAATATATGTTACCCAGAAGAGGACAGGGATATCTACCCAAACACCTGATCCAAATAGGTTCAAGCAAGGCCAAAGAGATAGAGCAATTAGTGCCAGCTGGACAATGAGTCATTGAGATAGCTGGTCACAATGGCACGGCTGTTACAGTTGTCCAGCTGGCATTAATTGCTATATTTCTATAGGTAAACATTAGAATTCCAAGGCATTCTGCCGCACCCTCATGCAGTTTTCCCCCAGTTCTCCAATACAGTCATACCTCTGGTTGTGAATGTGATCTATGCGGGAGGCACATTCGCAATCCACAGCGTTCGCAGCCTGAAGTGCTGCGTCTGCGCATGCACGTGACGCAATTCAGCACTTCTGTGCATGCGTGTGACGCCATTTTGTGCTTCTGCACATACGTGAGCACCAAAACCTGGAAGTAACCAGTTCCAGTACTTCCAGGTTCAGCGCAGTCCGCAACCCAAAAACACGCAACCCACAGTGTTCGTAACCCGAGGTATGACTGTACTGTTGCGCAGAATTACACAACCTTAAATCTGGGCCTGTATTATTTTTTCATTAAATTATTATGTTTTCAATAGATCTTCCACACCTTCTCGAATGTCAAAAAACACATGTTCAAAACGGTAATAACGATCTTAGCAATTTCCTCACTACAGAAGAAGTCTCTCTTTTGAAAACAAGAGAAGTATTTCAGTCGTTTTTGTTTTACCGTTCTTTCTCGGCATCAAAGAGAACATTATCCGCAGCACTAAATTATTGTATGCTGACAATACCCAGATCATACTTTGATTTGGTTGTCAGGAGGAGAATGTGAAATTCTTTCTTGTCCCGTCAGCAGATTTGAGAGTGTCTTGAGTGACAGCGTAAGGCTGGATCACTGCCAAATGTAACATTTACAGCAGGCATAGGCAAACTCCGGCCCTCCAGATGTTTGGGACTACACTTCCCATCATCCCTGACCACTGGTCCCGTTAGCTAGGGATGATGGGAATTGTAGTCCCAAACATCTGGCGGGCCCGAGTTTGCCTATGCCTGATTTACAGTGATAAATATAATAAAACAAGTAGTTTTGGTATATTTCTCTCTGCATGGTAATACCAAACTTACCAAGGGCTTTAAGGTCATTACAACTTTGCTACTCTTTGCTTGTCCATTGGATTGGAAAGGGAAAAGCCTATCCACAGACTATCTAAAAGAGGTTATAATTCAATAACGAATTAGCATGTAATCAAGTTGGCTTGGAGCTGGGGGGAAATGGTTAAAGGAGAAGTCTTGTCCATTTTCTTTATGCATCCTCTTGTTCCTCTTTAACATTTACCTTTTTTGAAATGAAGGGCTAAGCTTATTAATTTGAAACAATCATTCTGCATATCCTGTGTGGAATCCTGGTCAAACAATGCATGTTTTTAAAATTAAAATAGTCCATCATAAACCAAACATGGAGCAAAGGGTAATTTCCCTTTAATTTCCTTCAGGTCATTACAGTCTCAATAGCCTATCAAAAAGCTGAAAACTGCTGCTGGTCATCAATGTATGGCAGAGCATTCTCCAATGAACAGTAGAATGTTTGGCAACTGAGAGAACTCACCCAAGTTGGCTTTGGGAGACGTCTCATCACAAAGGAGTCTCAACATGAGTTCAAGACAGCATTTAGCAGAATGTAATTAAACATCCGTATTAAAATATATTAAAACCACCAACCTGCCCAGCAATTAACTCTGACACAATATAAAATCAAACAGACGAGGTCATTAGAACATGTGTATGCACACAAAAAGTGCTCCCAGGCAGGTGAGGAATTAACTGTTCCAACTATATGTTACAATATAAAAGGCTGCATGTTTCTTTTACCTGCTTATGTTTTTCTTAACTGAAAAGGAAACTCAGAGGCTGTTATCAGGAGCTGAACAATGATGGGACTGTGAATGAGTTGTTTAATCGCTTCTCTTCCTTCTATTTGTTCAAAATCACTTGTCCAAAACTGCTTTCCCAGTTGGGGGAGAGATGCAGGGGCCCCCTGTTTCTATGCATGTGGGTGGAACATCCAGCAAGCATCATGGCTCAGTACAGATTTGAATGTTCCATTTTGCTGTAATCCATCCACTAAGCTACAGTAACTTAATAATAATAATAATAATAATAATAATAATAATAATAATAATAATAATTTATTATTTATACCACGCCCGTCTGACTGGGTTTCTCCAGCCACTCTGGGTGGCTTCCAACAGAATATTAAAATACAATAACCTGTTAAACATTAAAAGCTTCCTTAAACAGGGCTGCCTTCAGATGTCTTCTAAAAGCCTGGAAGCTGTTTTTCTCTTTAACTCATACTTCTTCTCCTTCTCTCTGTCATTGCACCATATTTATATCTCAACTTTCTTTAAAACCCTCGACCCAAGGCGGATTACCAAATTAGGTAATAAAGCACTTTGAACTTAGAATCATAGAATTGTAGATTTGGAA